TCAAAAACAACGATACTGCGATTGGATAGCCAGGTAACATCAAACATTGAAAAGATCGAAGAGGTCGATAAATACATTTACGTGACCCATGACGTCAACATGCGTCATGATCAGGCTGAACAGATTGAAGAAAGAAAGAAGGCAATTTGTCGCGCGTTCCATTCCATCAAACATGTTCTCCTAGACAGCATCAGGAAAAAATCCCGCGCAATTAAATACAGCATTAAATATCATAGTTCTAATTTTCTCAGCATAGTGTCATAAGCATTCAGAATTCCTTTATGACATCAGTACGAACTTCATCCTACAGAAAATCTGCAAGATGTATATCGAAACGTCAGCAATAGCTGAACTTCTAAAGTACTTATTATATTCCAGTTATTATACGAACCACAAACCATTGTAGTTTCAATGTTCCTAGAAATTTCTTATCTGCAATTCACTTCCGCTCATGAGGGAACTGCAAGTGATGCGGAAGCCCGCTTTAATAGGTTTAGTCAATGATTTTGTCTACCACTCACCAACAGTGTCTGTCTATATGATCTAAACCTCGCAAACTGTATCGTTTCTTCGAATCCGTTGATCTGGAAGGATACTGCAAACTCACGGACTGCATTTTACGAGTATGTATGCCAACCACTCCCCAAACGTTCAATTTTATAAAAATGTTTTATGTTTACTGCAAACGTGTAAATATAATTCATAAACAATGTATTTTAGCATCTAATTAATATGATATCGTATACTATTGAAAAACGTACATGATTTCTTTATGCGCGAGGTGATATAATCGTTTGGTAAGTCACAAATGGGAAGGCAACGCATAAAATGTTCTTTAAATAGGGACATCTGACGTTTCGGACTATGCTCAGTCCGTCTTCAGAGTACAGTGACAAAAGGCACTTCCAAGCTTGGTTTATACAACACATTTACTATATTATATTGTTATACTATGTACTGTATAGCATGTAGTACGGTTTAGTCGTAAACCACGCAATATAATGATCTCTCTGATGATGGATAGAAATCTTGATGTTGATGTTTCACCCTTGCCTTGCCAAGGGGCTTTCTCTAAGATAAATCAGCTGACGAAGTCTGGAGGTTGCTCCAATCATCTGCAGTAGCTGTTTCGCTTGGACCTGTCGGCTCGAAAAAAGCCGCTTGTTACAGACTGTTCTAAAATCACCGCACTTCGTCAACTGTTTGATCCCTATGAGGGTATGGGAGGAAGGGCTGAAACGTCTGTATTGGGTATTGACCCATCGTCTGCTGGACCATTATATGTCGTTGTTTATTAATAAATAACTTTGAGTTGAGTTGGAGTGGCAGTGGCAAAGATGCCGGTGAATCCGGAGAAAAGACGGTCGTTGTTTTAACCGTTAACTCCCCTATAGACCCCACCCCAAGAAAATATCTCACACGGCTTTGGCGCAAACAACAGAGAAGCATGGTGTTTTTGGTGTGGTCGAGCCAGAGTTGGTGAGCGGAACGGCTGCTGCCTGATGCGAGCACCTCATAGGGTTTCGATTTGTCTTGACCCACCTGATAACTGCTTATCCAATGCGACAATGAGCAGAAGGTGCAATTCCTGTTGCTGTTGCTGTACAAACCGAATTTGCGCTGTTTTACAACTTAATTACCAACCGTCGAACCTCATACACCACCACTGGATATATTATACACAATACGGTATGTAAATCCTAACGTTATACACAAAGTTGGAAGCACTTGTGCCCTATACTGGCTGTGTTTCTTCGAAATTCACTACCCTTCGTTTCTGCCTTGGAACAACTCACGCGACCTCAAAGACGAACCGACCAATTCGTACCTCAGCATCGCGTCGCTTCGTTATGCCCTGAGCAAAACCGTATCGATTTTTGGAACCCGACCGACCCGTAGATGGATCTTCATCGGACGGTTGAACGGAGGGACGGACAGAGAGAGCGCCTCGATGCCGCACACGCGCGCAATCAATAACGGTAACCACGTACTTTCGTGAGGGAGAGCGAGTTCGAACGACGAATTATGAAGATTTCATTTGTGAA